CTGTGGCTCAAGTGGTAGTGTTGGGCTTGAGCTGAAGAGCTGAGGGACAGCGCCCAGGCCCAGAGTTCAGGCCCCACCACCAGACCCCCCCAAAAAAAAAACAAAAAACAAAAGTTTATTTCTAGGAGAAGAAAATGATCCCAAGGGAATACCAAGTTTTAAGTGGCAGTGGATGGTATTCTGTCATCAAAAAGATCCAGATTTGTAATGAGAACGCAGGGTGAGGTGAGATGGATTCTCTCTTCTGTAGCCCTCTCCTGTTTTGTGTTTCTATACTTCCTTTTTTTCTGAGGTTCTGAAACAAAAATAAAGCATGGTCAGGCTCTGTAATGGCTGAAGGAGCTTTTGAATTCTGAAGAGGAAATTGGCTTTACCCAACCAGTGGTTTCCTGTGTATGTTGTATCCGGTGAAGGAGGCAGGGCCTTGGTGATATATTGCCGTGCTCAACTGCAGAATTTCCTTTTGCTGGTGGTAGTTTGAAATGTGCTTCAAGGTTCTGACGTGTCTTCATGTATTCTTATATATTCTGCTATGTGCATTATATAGAAAAATCATGTGTGACAAGAAAATATGACTGATACAGCAATCCTGGATGTATCTTTTTAAATAATATCAAAATTATAAGGCATTCTTTCCTTGGTTCTTTTTAGCATTAACTAGTTGTACAAAGGAAGTGCATTTGACATATCTAGACATTCAATAATGTACCTTGATCAGACTCAGCCCTTATCACTCTTTTATTTCCTTTCTCTCCTTCCTAATCTGTGTGTGTTGTGTGTGCGCGCGCGTGTGCGTGTGTGCTGGTGCTTGAACTCAGGAGCAGGATACTACACTCTCTCAGACTTTTCACTCAAGACTGGCACACTACCACTTGAGCCATATCTCCTAATTTGAAGCTAGTCCAAGCAGACAAATCCAAGAGACCAAGAGAAAGCTAGAAGTGGTATAACACTAGCCTTGAGCAGAAAAACAAAAACAAGCGCACAAGGCCCTGAGGTCCAGCCCCAGTACTAGCACAAATAAACACATGGTTTGGGTCATGGCTTGCCCTAGCATGCAAGCCCTGTATGCAAGAGTTCCGCCTCTAGTATTGGGGAGGAAAAAAATGTTAGTGTATATACCAATATCCTTTTTGTTTTTAGGATATATAAGATGTAAAGATTTCTTTTGGTCATATCTTTTAGAACAAGGTTCTTTTTTTTTTGCTAGTTGTGGGGCCTGAACTCTGGGCCTGGGCCCTGTCCCTTAGCTCTTCAGCTCAAGGCTGACACTCTACCACTTGAGCTACAGCGCCACTTCCGGCTTTTTCTGCTTATGTGGTGCTGAAGAATCGAACCCAGGGCCTCATGCATGCAAGGCAAGCACTCCACCACTGAGCCACATTCCCAGCCCTAGAACAAGGTTCTTTATCTGAACTTTATAGATTGAGAGCAGTATGTCTCTTAAGTGTGGCTATGCGATTACAGATCACAGGTATAATTTTGAAAAAATGAGTCTATCTGTATAGTCCTCCTCCTGCCCTTCCTCTAAGTTTCTGCTTCAGTCAATCTGAGATGTACCCTGCAGTCTGAATTACAAGAAGCTTACATAATTCTTTGCCAAAGAAAGTTCTGTAATTACTCCTATAGGCAGTTCATGGCTGCGATTTGAAAGAACTTGTCAACTTTTGAAATTGAATGATTTTTTTTCATTTTTTATTACTTATTTAATTTGATTTTTTTTCTTTTTTCTTTTTTTTTTTTTGGGTCCGGTCGTGGGGCCTGAACTCTGGGTCTGGGCGCTGT